CAAGTCGACACGTGCATGCGCAGGTGTGTGCAACACAGAGATTCATCATACGCGCACACTCCAAGTCGACACGTGCATGCGCAGGTGTGCGCACACAGACATCGGTCAGATACACACACTCCAAGTCGACACGTGCATGCGCAGGGGTGCGCACAACACAGACATTCATCATACGCGCACAGTCCAAGTCGACACGTGCATGCGCACGTATGCGCACACAGACGTTGGTCACATACACCCTCTCGAAGTCGACACGTGCATGCGCAGGTGTGCGCATGCAGACATTGATCATACGCGCACACTCCAAGTCGACACGTGCATGCGCACGTGTGTGTACAGAGACATTGGTCAGATACACACACTCCAAGTCGACACGTGCATGCGCAGGTGTGCGCACAACACAGAGATTCATCATACGCGCACACTCCAAGTCGACACGTGCATGCGCAGGTGTGCGCATGCAGACATTCATCATACGCGCACAGTCCAAGTCGACACGTGCATACATAAGTGCCTTGCTGCACTGCGCCATAGCATCGTATTCTGACTCACATGTACCCTGTGCAGCAGTGTGCTGGACGCGGCTCCGCCACATGACAGGGCCGCCACCCATGAACACTACATAACCATCAGTCGACTTTGCTCCTGGCTGGTCAGTCAGTGACGCATCAGCATAGCCATCCAGATTGAAAAGAACCATACACATGTCATCCACATCCATCGTGTCCCATTCACCGCCAGAGAAAGTGATGCCGAGCTCCCGTGTCCCCTTGATGTAACGTAACACATGATGACACGCATGTACATGAACAAGTGTGGGTGCATCCAACACACGAGACAGCACGGAACACGCAAAGGACAGATCAGGTCTACATGTAGATGCAGCGTACTGCAGGTGGCCGACTACTGATCTACATGGGAAGTCAGCTATTTTCGCTAGCTCCCTCTCTGAATACTGATCACTACGCACATTGAAGTTGGGGCCGATAGGTAGAGGGCAATCGGCCGGCGAACAGTCAGTCATATTGAAGTTCGCTAACACAGCATCCATGTATTTAGCCAGATGGAGTGTGAGCTGGCCATTCTGTCTATCTCGACTGACTGACATACCCAAAAACGTACTTACATCACCCAGATCCTCGACTACAAGTCGTTCATTCAGTCTGTCTTGCAGCCACGCATACCCCTCACTCGTCGATGCAACTACCATATCATCTACATAGCGTGCGAGCAAAATGCCGAGAGACCCCTGGTATTACAGACACGTCTCATTACGATAAGATAGGAAGCCTAGTTCAGACAAATACGAATCAATATGCACGTGCCATGCACGAGGTGCACCGGGCAGACCATACAGTGCCCGTTGCAGCTCCATTACACATCCATCTACGCGATAGCCGTCAGGAAACTCACACCATACAGGCTCATGCAAAGGAGAGTAAAGAAAAGCTGTCTCTACATCCATGTGCTTCAGGTCAAGGTCCATCGCATTGGCTGTGCTGGCTACGACACGAAACGCATCGAAGCTGAGTGTGGGTGAGAATGTCGGGCCTTTCTCTTGCCATGGTTGCTCAAAACCACGCACCACTATCCTAGCCTTGAACTTGTGTGCCCGTCCGTACAGCAAACACCCACCCATTTGATAGACAGGACCTGACCTCTGGCTGAGCTACGAGACACTGTCTTGTACACATCCTTTGCACGTACACTATTCATCTCACGATCCATTGCCTCCTCCCATCTATGTCTCAGTGGACTTTTCATTGCCTGTGCATATGTCTTGGGCCCGCACAAAAGCCGCGCGTGCGCCAAGTCACGTCTCAACTCCTCATCAATCACAGCAGGCATGGCAATCAGACACATCAGTGAGTGGATGCACACTCATTCCAAGTACACATACGACACAACACGCACATGCACGCACATGTACATTCATGCACCCCTCTGTCTCCCACTCTATCCATACGTCCGCCCCTGCATCACCACCATATCTCTTCTGCGGCGACTTCCCCAGTCGCTCTCGGATGCGGTCGTTGATCTTCTCCTGCCACTCGCGCTGAGCATGCTGCCTGCGGAGGATGGTGTTGCCGTGCAGCTGCGGGGCCCTCTTGCTGATGTACTCCTGCAAGGTGGGCATCTTGCTCTCCTCCTCTGCTCTGACGATGTTGACCTGCCGCTGGAGGCACTTGGAGAAGTCGTAGTTCTCCTCACCGTCACGCTTGGGACGCCGCACATCCCGCCGCAGTCCCTGCCGTCCACCCCCTCTGGTCTGCTGTCCGTCCTGTCCGTCCTGTTGCTGTGGGGGTTGCTCTTGTGGTGGTGCCTGCACGACCGCAGGTGGTGGGGAGGGTGAGGGTGAGGGTGGGTGAGAGGGTGGGTGGGGCTGCTGCTGGTCTCCTTGCTGTTGCTGCTGTGCGGGTGGTGGGGGTGGTGGGTTGGAAGACGATGCCCCGGGAGGGTTCTGCCGTGGTGGTGTGGGGGAGGGCGATGCCGTCGATGGCGTCCGACCGAATGTTGACGGGAAGGGGACGTTGATCTGCACACGCTGCTCACCCATACCGTCACGTGCCCCGCCACACCGACCCCCATGCGCCTCTCCCACCCCTGTCCCCTGACCATTGTGTGCCCATGGGGCGGGTGTTGGGTTCTTCATGCGCTCGCGTCGCTCCTTGAAGGGGAAGCGGCTCTCGTCCACGATCACCTCCGGTGTCTCGTACACCTTCTTGGTGTCGATGTCGAGGGCGCGATAGGTGCCCTTCATGCGCGGCGCCATGCCCAGCATCACCATCATCTTGCCCTTGGCCTGCAACCCCCTCCTGATCTCCTTCCTCTGGTGCACAAACGCCGCCGAACCGAAGAGGAAGAGGCCCTTGATGCTCGCCTTCTTGCCGTAGAGGGCGTAATGGGGGGAGGTGGGTCTGCCGTCAGGGAGCCGTGCCGCCTTGGTCACGGTGATGTTGTACATCCTGACGGCATGGTCGAGGGCGTACGGCCAGTACTCCTCAGGCATCCCTGAGTCGGCCATGATGGACGTCATCAGCGCCATGAGTATGCCGACCTTGTGCTCGACGACGCCGCCTTGGTTCCTGTGGTATGGGGCGTTGAACTGCTGGCGGATGCGGTGCTCGATGCAGTACTGCTCCAGCTTGCCGTACCGGAACTCTTTGGCACCGTCGCTCCGCAGCGTCTTGATCTTGCCCATGGCCTGCTCGTAGCAGCCCACACACTCAGTGACCTTGTTGCGCGACGGGACGGCGAAGGCACAGATGTGGCGGGTCTTGTCGTCGGTCATGAAGAACCCCGTGTCGCCCTCGACTGACGCCACCTTCATCGGCTTGTGGTCGAGGTGGACGAGGTCGAAGGCCTCCTTCGCCCGTGTCCCTGGCTCCCTACAGACGTTCTTGAGCCGCATCTTGCCCGCCACGCAGCCCTCGCACACGCACCCGTCCTCTGGTGGCTTGATGTCGGGCATGCCGTCGACGAACTCCTGTGATTGGGCCAGCCGTTTGTGGCCGATATGGCACATCAGCCGGTGTGTCCGTTCGGTTGCCGCCACCTCCTCAGCTGTTGCCGTGGCTGCCAGCGATGGGGTGGTCTTGGGTGGGGGTGTTTTGGATGGGGGTGGTGTCTTGGGTGGGGGTGGGGGAGAGTTGGGGGAGGGCATGGTGGACAGGTAGTAGAGACCGCTCTCTCTGCGCAGGGGGATGGTCAGCTGGCCGAACTTGATGCACGAACGGGTTCTCTGCAGATGCGTGGTGTAGTTGTACGCTCGATCGAGGGCTCCAGCCGGCAGCAGGTTGACGGACAAGTCGGGCACGTACAGCACATCGTGCACTCGCATCTCCACCACACGACCCTCTGCTGTCCACACGGACAGCTGGACATCACCCACCCCCTCTGCCATTGTTGTGTCCCCCGTCACCGAGCGAATCCGGTACCGTTTGGTGGGTGTGAGGTTGAGGAAGCTGCCCTTGTCGAACATGCAGTGCTTCTGTGCGCCCGAGTCCGCAATGATGCGGTTGTCCTTCTTGTCCGAGAGGGTGGCCGCCACTCGTGTCTCGATGATGGCGTCCTCCTCACTGCCGCCCGTCTCGTCGCTGACCTCCTCCACCCTTGCGTGCGACGCCATGCTGATGCCGTGGGTCTCCTCCGTGACGTACGACTCCTCGAAGACCGGCGAGTTCTCGTCCTCGAATGTCGCGTTGGTGTGGTATGAGCGACTCCAAGTCGACACGTGTATGCGCAGGGGTGCGCACAGAGGCATTCATCATATAGACGCAGGTGTGCGCACAGAGGCATTCATGACATACACGCACTCCAAGTCCACGCGTGCATGCGCAAGTGTGCGCACAGAGGCATTCATGACATACACGCACTCCAAGTCCAGACGTGCCTTCGCAGGGATGCGCACAGAGGCATTCATCATATACACGCACTCCAAGTCCACACATGCCTGCACACGGGGCTCAGCAGATATCTCTCGTAAGGAACCTCTCATCTCTGTTTTCTCTGTAAGGATCTTTCTTTCTCCGCCCTCCTAGCCTCCCGCCATGGTGCCCTCCCCTCTCTTTGTTGCGACCGTGGTTTTGCTGGGGACTCCTGGACTCGGCGTATCTGAGGTGGCCTGACTCGTGCCAGCGAAGAAGAGCAGCGAACAGGAGCCCCAGTCGTCTCCCTGCCCAGGTGTGTATGACTCGTCTTACATTATGTCGCGCCCCTGTGTGCACTGGCTGGCCTTGTCTGATGCAGGTGAGGTTACCCGTTTTAGCGGCACCATCGATTCCGTTTTGGGTATGAAGCGATTCGGGCCCATCACCTACTCGCAAGGAGACGTGGCGGACTTTCTCATCGTGGCGCTGGACACATTTGTGGGTGACGGGGGTCTTTCGTGTACGATGCTGACGGCGGGTGAGAAAGGGAGGGGTCATGCATGGTGGAATGACATGTGGGTATTTTTTCATGTGTAGTGATGTTTTGCAGCCAGATAGACGAGAACTTTTCCTCTTTCTCTTTCAAAGAGAGTGACACAAGACACAATTACGAAAACGCGGTGAAAGTCGAAACAGCAGATTTCGCGAAGACGATGGCGTTCTTGTTGAAGTGATCTGCCTCGCGAAGACGTGCGCATTCGTAAGAAACTCCACGGACGGACGGATGCATCACATTTCACTTCATCCACACATATTCACGTGTGGCTATTTTCTTTCCTTCTTTAAGGAGCTGATCGCGTTCGAGCATACTGGATTCTGTGAACCTTAGCTGGAAGCTGGCGAGACCATCACAGGTACCACTAAGGAAAGGAAGACATCTGCCGATCTGTAATGACTGGCTCCTTTGGTTCTACGCACAGGGGTGTGCACGTGATCGCTTCATTCGTGCCCACGCTGTGTGTCCCTTAATCGGCTCAAAGGAGGAACAACAAAGAGGAGCCAACCGCCAAGACGTTGAACACCAAGACAAGCAAGGGAAAAATCCTGAAGTTGGACAAACCGAAGAAAGGTGAGTCTTTGTCAAAAGAAATGCAGTGATCAATCATTCATGTCACCCACTATACGTATTCCATCCGTGATATAGCAACATCTGCTCGCCGAGAGGTAGAAGGCTTGTTCGGCTGCCCCCTTCTTAGCGCGCTTCTCGAGGACAGTACAGCGACACCTCCTATGCAGAGCATCGTCCAGGTAGACGAAACAGGACGGACACCTGAACAGGACTTGCGATTTGTATGATGTCATTATCGTTTGATCAGAGTGGCACTGAGCAACAAATTGTGATCGACCTGCTATTCCTTGCCCAGAGCCAGATCGGGATCTCTCAAGTGGTGATCGCTGCCACTCCCTTCAAGTGCACGAAGCATGAATGAATGCCTACTCAGCAAGATGCAGGGCTTCAAACGTGTGTTTGGATGACGCAGGGTAACGCCAACCTCCGCGTCACCGTTGATGGGTAGGCATTTATTCATGATTCCAACTCTTACGTATGCTATATGTATGCTTGAATGTCTGCAGCGAGGAGTGTCCGGATGATCCGGAGGTTTGCCCCAGGGCTACTTCTGCGAATCCTTCGGATACTCCCGAGCTAGACGTCGCTGATACCGTATATGAAGACGCGGTTGTCGTGAGCACCAGTGCAGGTGAAAGACTAGATGTGTTCGTCACCCCAGCAGACAACCCAGACGGCGAGCCCCAAGACGCCATCGTGGTACGCATGCATTGCAGGCAGTCCTGCGTCCACATACAAGTTCTTGTATTTGTATGTGTGTGGGCGATGCAGGAGATCATTGTCTTGAGCTACAATGGGTGCAGATCGATAACGTTCCCGTAGAGCAAGTGCCCTTCGGCCCCCCTCCTGTCGACAAGTATGCTCATCAGTCTAAAGTGATCCATCCCAAGTATGCACACACACTTGCATCTTATCACGTTGTGTCGACAGCGCTGGCGCTCACGATGTGGATCCAGCCGATGTGCATGATGGTGGCAATGGTGCTGATGCAGGGGATGGTGGCGACGCGGGGGATGGGGGCGACAGTGGCGATGGTGGTGATGCGGGGGATGGCGGCAATACGGGGGGAGAGCTCGAGCGCTGATGCGAAACAACGATCTTCATCAAGATGGGTGTGTGAGTGGAGGTACTTGTGTTCTTTCTTGATAGAAGCTGAATTGGTTTTTCTCCCGCTCCTTGATTTGCGGTCTTAGCGGCATTTTCCCCGAGGCTATTACTGTCAACGGACAGGGTGTCTCCCTTGCTGCCATGAAATGTTAGGGATTAATGGAATTATGAGTGCGACAGTTTTTCGGGTTTTTCGTCTCCGAATGGTGTGCGCGTGCTTTGCTCGATATGGAGTGGACGGGTTGGCCTGTTCAATGGGCCAGCCCGTCCACTCTAAAAAGTTTAGCTGGACTGCATGTGTGACACCATGTGTGGGTAGTGTGAGTCTCGTTCCTTCTCCCATCTTCTGACTGCCTGTGTGCACCGAGTGGGCTGACTTGGTTGCTGGCTGTGTGACTCACTGATTTGTGTTAGAACATTCGATATATACATTAAGTCAGATCGCAATCAACCTTCATTTCTCGCTATCAAACACACGATTTCATCAGTTGGTTCCTCCGCTTAGGCAATTTTCTCTTTTGACTATATAGTGGGGAGCCGTATATCACATTTTCGAGCTGAAACGGTTTCTTCTGGGACTGACGGCATCTGCATTAGAACGACATAATGAAAGCTTCATTTTGCACTATCTGTGGTTCGGTGACTATTGTCGTCTCGTGTGCACGACTTGTGGCTCGACGAAGTAGTGGATATGCTCAGCCGCCCATCACAATACGCCAGAAGATAAAGAGAATAGCTCAGCTTCTCATTGATTTTGCATTGTGAAGGCACGTTCGACCTGCGTCTGCATCTGCGTAGGCCACAGACTCACAGAGCAATTACATATAAGTATCTTTGCACTGATTGATTTATCGTATTGCGTTCGCAAGATATCGATATCTCTGCGCTAAGCCTGTTGACGAGCAAGTGCATTCTCTGCAGCAGCTCAGGAATGAGGCCATCACAGCCGCGGAGAATATGTACGAGATGAAAGGGGAGATGGCCAAGGCGCATGGGAGCTTTAATATCTTCGTCAGGGACTGTTCCACACACAGTGAGAGAAAACATAGACTGTTTTGTCTGATTGTCTGATTGTTTATTGTGTGTGTCTGTCTGTCTGTCTGTCTGTCTGTGAGTCCTGAAGAGAGCGCGGTGTCCCTGAACGTCGGGCGGGACGAGTCGGTGTGGGCTGTCAAGGCAAAGCTGCAGCACAAAGAGGGCATCCCCGCCAGCAAACAGACTCTTACCCACCAATCGACAAAAATGGACAACAACCGCACACTGGCTGCCTACAATGTTCGGAAAGAGGCAACTCTGCATCTGTATTTTTCGTGAGGACAGAACAATGCAGACAATAGATATCATACCCGATCGTGCATCCTGGCTGTTGGTGCATGTCTTGCAGTGTCCGTGCGGGCACTCTTGATGCCACCAGTGGCCGTCATGATTTCGAAGCAAGCACCGATGTGTCGGTCAACCAGCTGTCGATGCTAACAGGTATGGATGAAAATGGTGCCACGCTGGTCGAAGCCTAGGATGGCAAGAAAAAGGTACTCAAGCTGGTCGGCGAGGTGACAAAGGCCTTTGAAGACATGGCAATGCTCACCAATATCCTACTCACCAGGCTCCGCCAAACCTGATCATGCAAAATACAAGCAGACAAGACAGCAACACAACCCTCTCACTGCATACACAAGCCTGCATCATGTGTATGTACGTGTGTGTGCAGTTTGGCGATAGAGACACGTAGCGAAACAGACACACGTTGAGCTTTCGTCTGCACGTATCAGGCACACACTCATGTATAAGTCAATGAGGCACAAACTAACACGCAAATACGACAGAGTGGGACGGAAAGGGGGGGGAGGAAGACACAGCACCGATTGGCATGCTTCCGTTCACTTTCTGCGAGCTCGGCCGAAGCTCGCCACCATCCTCTTCGATCGCAAAGCGGCACCTATATGTTGCCGTCTCCCGCAGCGCTTTTGCAGATCTGCCTTCTGCCCCCTTGCATGTTGCGTGTTGCATGTTCCATGTTGCCTGTTGCGTGCTGGACAAATATGGGACCAGGCCGTCGGGCCGCCTAGGGCATGTCGTGAAATCGCTGCCGCAGCTCATTTGGTAAGCGAGGAGGCGGTCACAAACTACCGAGGTCCCTGACTTGAGGCGCAGCATCGTGCTGACTAGAACAGTCATCGACATAATTCCCCCGCTCTGGTTTCGAATTCTTACTGGCGGCAAAGTGGATCTGCATTCCTTTGTTCGTTCTCCTTTAACGGCACTATCTGCGTCTGAGCGCTCACGGCGCTTTCGCGTGATGCCCTAGGTTTGAGTCTTTCATCGATCGTAAATTCGACCTCCAGACGACCCGAATCCTCGCTTCCATACAATTGCGGGCTCAGCAAATCCGAGAAATGGTCCCCGTGCAGTCCTATGGAAGTGCTTGCATTGAGTAAGGACAACATGTGCGCTGGAGTATTAAGCAAGGGATGATGAATATGGCATATTTCTATCTGTAGATTGTATGACCATGGATACTACGCCACAGGGCTATAGGGTCATCCCGGGACCTCGTTCATTCATTCATTACACCTCTTCTCCACTATTCCCCCCGCTCCCCTTCCCCGCTCCCCTGAAAGAAGGAGAGTCGTATTACACTCTCGAGCATTCATCCCTCTGTGCCATTGGGTTCTGGGCTTGCAGCCTTCGAACTTAGGCCGCTGTGCCATTGCCTTCGAACTTACGCCGCTATGCCATTGGGTCCTGGGCCTACACCTTCGAACTGGGGCTGACTTTATGCCCTGCCACCTCCCATCGCTGCACCTCTAGATCTCGAGAGAAGAAATGTAGCTGTATCGTGCTCCGCCTATCGTTCGTCCCTCTGTACCAAAAAGGTTGTGAACTTGCCGCCCTGGGAGTTTGACTCCTTTGAGCTTATGCTCTCGTCTCGCTTGGGGCCTTTTCTTTATTCGGCAGCGTCTATATCGAGGTCTTCATTTAAGTCTGTCTCTCACCCTTGGCCATCGCTATTTGGTTCTGCATGCATAGATGTGCATTGCGGATATTTGCTCGAAGACTCAGCGCTTCGCAGTTTGCCTTCTTCCACCATCTGAGGGAGGGTTTTCATTGCATACGCCAACCAACTATAGGCTTGCGCAGGCGTGCTCACAGAGACATTCATTGTACACAGCAACTACAAGCGTGCACAGGCGAGTAGATAGAAAATACGTTCATCGCACACACCAGCCAATACAAGGGTGTGCAAGTGTGCGGACAAAGCCCTTCATTATACACATCGGCCAACTACAGGTGTGCGCAGGTGAACGCACAAACATATTCATTTCACACATGAACCAACTGCAGGCGCGTCTCCTCACACACAAGCGTCGAATTGCAGACGTATGTGAGATAAATACCTCTGCGTACACAAGCGCATCCACGCGACTTGAAGGGTGTGTATTGCGTGGGCTGGCCGTGTGTTGGTGGGGGCGGTGGCTGGCCCGGATACTTCGCTTGTGGTGGTTGCTGGGCGAACTGAGACGGGTGTGTCGGCGCAGTGCTACTCTGCATCATCGGCGCACCTCGCTGCTGCTGTCGGCTTGTCGATCCATAGGGCGTCTGTCTCAGCCCCGGCGGGATCGTCGTCTGCTTCGGTATGCCCTGATGCGGCACCTGCTGCTGCTGACCCATTCCTTGATTCCGCATACCTTGGTTCGGCTGGTTCTGTCCATCAAACCCAGAACGTGACGGTGCCCACCAAAGCGGTCTCCTTGGTGCACGCATATGGTGATGATTGCGGCGTCGCGGCGACCAGTGGGTGCCCTTGTGTCGTGCCGCCTGCCTGGGGGGCGATGTTCTGTTGTTGGTGCGGTACGGCATTCTGCTGCTGACGTGACGGATCTTGCGCGGCTTGCGTATCCCCCCCATGCCCAAGAGAAGACGCTACTCCCGTCTGCGGTTGTATGGTTTGCGGGAGCGGGATGGGCGGCATCACCAGACGAGTCAGCCAACCATCATCATCAATGCTAACCCAACCCGCCTCCAGAGCGTCCGCCTTCTGTCCGGCGATCCTGTCCGCGACAACTTCCGGGTCGGATTCGGCGAATCGCTCCACGATGCACTTAACCTCTACCGCGGCGCGCAACGGGTCCTGCAGCATCGCCGGGGTGAGTGTCACCCACCACGACGGATAGGTGTCGATCGCGCGCCCGTACGCATCGCGGCCGGTCGGGAAGAGGCGGAATTTGAGCTCGGCGTATGAGCCATCCATGCCCACGGGAATAACGGTATAATATCTATCGCGACGCAGGCGGCTCGCGTCAGTGGTCGCACGGGGCTCAGATTCAGGTAAGTGAACCTGCGCGCCTGACGCTTCCCTCTGGGCTTGCAGGGCGGCATCATCCCTCTCTGAGTGCTCCTGCAGCGCCTGGTGGACGGCACAGTCGGCGGCGTCATACAGGTCTTGCGCCGACTCATCTCGGTGTGCAGCATGACGGGTGAATGCATGATCTCTACATAGACACACATCAAGCCCAAAGGTGCGTGCGCAGGTGTGTGCTCACAGAGACGTTCATCATATACACACACTCTAAATCCAGACGTGCGTGCGTAGGTGTCTGCACACTCCAAGTCGACGCGTGCATGCGCAGATATGCGCGCAGGGAGGCACTCTTCTAGGTAGCTGCTTCATAATTGGATAAGGAAGCGCTGCATTTCTTGTCTAGATCACACTACTCTGTACATGTACTTCCACGTTGCAGACTCTCCTGACCCTGTATTAAAAGAATAAGTCGCTGCACCTTTGCATTCTCATATGCATAAATTCCACCCAACCGATATATACCGGTACATATGGACCCGCCTGAATGAATACGTCAGAAAAACGGAGCAAATGCGTATACTACATCCCCATTTGGGTTCCTTTTTGGCGGGGCGATTAGTATGTGCTTCAACTATGCTTCCAGGTAAGTGGCCCTGCAGGACATCCACAGCAACAAAGTGTGTGTGTATTCGTGTGTATCAAAAAACAGGAATAGCACATTGACGGACATCCATGGGACATCGGGCATCCATCGGGCGTTTTGAATCAACCACCACACACACTTACAAACATTATCACGTACACACAAAAGCGTCTCTCTCTCTCTCTCATGCAGCAAAACTCTTCAATAGAGCCTCACACAAGCACGCATCCATCCGTTTTTTCAGCCTGCATTGGTGACGACGTCATGGATGGCGTCGGCCAGATAGCCCACATTGCCATTGGTGAGTGCCGCCACGTTCAGCCGGCCGTTCCGCAGCATGTACACGTGCCACTTAGTTAGCAGCTGCTCGCACAGACCGTCCTCTCGCACATCAAACAAACCATCAGGTCACACCGACCCCCCACCGCACCAGTACCGTGCGCCTTAGACAAGCCTGTGAATGAAAACCTGTTGACAACACACACAAAGAGGGAGGGAGGGAGGGACAAGACACACATTTGTCGGTTTCTGTATGCATTTCCTCTCTGCCTCTCTCCCTCGCCAACGTACATGCCGATCTGTTGAGTGATGTGCTCCCAGCTCCCGCGTGTGCCCTTCTTCTCGATGGCCTCCCTCAGCTGCCGCCTCATGGACGCCACACGGCTGCTCACATCCGCCAGCTGCGACTCCCACTCAGTGCGGTACTTGGTCAGCAGCAGCAGCGCCAGACGACCGCCGTGAGATGGGGGGGAGAAGTACATCGGCCTGCATTGCACAGAGAGAGAGAGAGAGAGAGAGGTGGACTGATGGCAGGGCGTGTGGGGGGTTGGGTGTGACCTGATGGTTTGTTTGATGTGCGAGAGGACGGTGCAAAACCACCAAAAACATGCACCATTGTGCCGAGTCTTCCAGTCCCTCCCCATAATAAATGCCAGCCGCACATACATAAACACCAACACCCCCTTTGTGGCACATACCCCCTTTGTGGCACATACACAAACGTTTGTTACGACCCGAACGGACGGGCAAGGAGGACACACGCACCAAATCCTCCATCCACCGCAATCAAGCCCGTGGACATGATGACGTCCTGGACCAAAATCATCGAACACACAACATCGCACGTGCACGTAATCCATACAAAATCTCATGCACCACATAAAGGACTGCATATTCGCTTTGCGATGATGCGATGGCCGTTGCCCTCAACACGCATAGTGCGCTCTTCTGCGCATTCGCTTGTTTACTGTCACATCAAACCGCCTCTCAACTTGCGGCGCTCGCCAGCGTCATCAGGCGTGTTTCCTATCACGCCGATCTACCACACACACACACACACACACACACCCCACCATGCCATATGATGGATAATTGGCCTTGTGGACGTGTCAAACATACGTTTTCCGTGAGATCGTATTCAGTCCAGTTGGGCATCCACAAAAGGCTGTGTCCGTCTCTGGACGGACATGCAGGTCATGATCACACCAGACATTCCTGCAATGCTATTGGCTGTGCCGTCTTTTTCCACATACGTGACATTTGACACGATCTTGAAGTCGCCAACTCTCGCGTCGATGACCGCGACGCCAGTGTAGTGTGCGCACACCTGCGCATGCACGTGTGGACTTGGAGTGCGTGTATATGATTGATGTCTCTGTGCGCATGCACGTGTCGACTTGGAGTGCGTGTATATGATGAATGTCGTCTTGGAGTGTGTGTATATGATGAATGTCTGTGTGCGCACACCTGCGCATGCACGTGTGGACTTGGAGTGCGTGTATATGATGAATGTCTGTGTGCGCACACCTGCGCATGCACGTGTGGACTTGGAGTGCGTGCCTCTGATGAATGTCTGTGTGCGCACCCTTGCGCATGCACGTGTCGACTTGGAGTGCGTGTATGTCATGAATGTCTCTGTGAGAACACCTGCGCATGCACCTGCGTGTCTATGATGAATGTCTCTGTGCGCACACCTGCGCATGCACCTGCGCATGCACGTGTAGACTTGGAGTGCCACCTGCGCATACACGTGCGCATGCACCTGCGCATGCACGTGTGGACTTGGAGTGCATGTATATCATGAATGTCTGTGTGCGCACACCTGCGCATGCACGTGCGCATGAACGGGTGGACTTGGAGTGCGTGTATATGATGAATGTCTGTGTGTGCGCACCACTGCGCATGCAAGTGCGCATGAACGGGTGGACTTGGAGTGCATGTATATCATGAATGTCTGTGTGCGCACACCGGCGCATGCACAGACATTCATCACATACACACACTCCAAGTCCACACGTGCATGCGCAGGTGTGCGCACAGAAACATTCATCATATGCAGACACTCCAAGTCGACGCGGGCATAGGCAGGTGTGCGCACAGCGACATTCATCATATACACACACTCCAAGTCCACACGTGCATGCGCAGGTGTGCGCAGAGAGACATTCATTATATGCACACACTCCACACACTCCAAGTCCACCCGTGCATGCACACGTGCATGCGCAGGTACATTCATCACATACGCACACTCCAAGTCCACACGTGCATGCGCAGGTGTGCGACATTCATCACATACGCACACTCCAAGTCCACACGTGCATGCGCAGGTGTGCGCACAGAGACATTCCTCAGATACACACTCCAAGTCCAAACGTGCATGCGCAGGTGTGCGGACGGCGACATTCATCACATACGCATACTCCAAGTCCACACGTGCATGCGCAGGTGTGCGCAGAGAGACATTCATCATATGCACACACTCCAAGTCCACACGTGCAGGCGCAGGTGTGCGCACAGCGACACAAGTCCACACGTGCATGCGCAGGTGTGCGCACAGAGACATTCATTATATGCACACACTCCACACACTCCAAGTCCAAACGTGCATGCGCAGGTGTGCGCTCAGCGACATTCATCACATACGCACACTCCAAGTCCACACGTGCATGCGCAGGTGTGCGCAGAGAGACATTCATCATATGCACACACTCCAAGTCGACACGTGCATGCGCAGGTGTGCGCACAGCGACATTCATCACATACACACACTCCAAGTCCACACGTGCATGCGCAGGTGTGCGCATAGCGACATTCATTATATGCTTTGAGTGTCTTCGTGCTGAGAGAGGAGACACAGGAACCCTTCTACATGTGGACGTTGGAGCACGTAGTCTTCCTCCACCCTCCGAGCCACTTTACAGACAGGAAGGTGGGCGAAGCAGACGAGCCTAAACATACGTCGGCTATGGCTTGTCTGTATGCTGTGTTTGGTTAGTGGCGTCACTTGATTGACACCGATGGAGTGAGCCATAGGCGCTAATCACCCATCATTGGCCGTTCAATCTTGCCTTTTCATTGTGCTTGCTTGGTTTTGCAGCCACTCAAGGCGATAAAGCTTGACGACATTCACACAATCGAGCAGGATCAACACGTCGTGTCGCTGTACGACCGAGACGACACTCTGCTACTGTCTCTCCAGCCGACCAACAACGACAGAGACCTGCTGATTGGCCAAGCCATCGAGGATCAAAGATCTGAGACTTTAGAGGAGCCGTTTCAAGAGACACCCCTCAAGCAGGACAGCCTCTTGATCCCACTGCGCTCTCAAAGTGATGAGCAGCTGAAGCCGTCGGTGTTCTGTTCGGCTCAACCTTCCATCCATGAGATGACGGAAGCGCAGCAGGACCCGCATGTGACGTTGGTCCCCAGCGGCGTAGCAGCAGTGGCCCAGGTCATCCGTGCGGCGAAAGAGGCGAGGAAAATTCTGCTGGAGACCTATGCGGGAGAAGCTGAGGGAAAAGCAGCAAGTGCTTTCTCTCTTGATGGCCCAGTGGTGTGTTCGGCCTGCTTCTGTATGGTCAATGGTCAATGCGCACACATCTGGTGGACTCATGACGGACTGGTAAGCGCAACTGGTCACCGAGGAGAAAAGCACCTTTTTGTCTATTTCCCTTTTTTTCTTTCCTTGTTTTTTCAGGTGCTCAATGTGGTCTCGGACGATTCAAACATGACCCACGGCTACTTCGTGAAGGACATGTCAGAACCGACACTTGAGGAGACGGTAGTCTCCCTCGGAATCATCAGAGTAAGCGCACCACGTCGTGTGTATGCTGAAATGAGATCCGTGTTTTCTTCTGTGTCTCGCCAGCTGGCATTCACCGATCCCCTCACTGCCGAGTCCTTCAGCCGCATTATCGCCTACCTAAAGACCCAACAAATATCAGATGGCCAGGATGAGGCGCTGCAGAAGCAGAGACGTGATGCCATCACGAGCTTCTACGCGGGCACCGAGTCGCAGCGGCCCTCCGTGACCTCGACTTATCGCCGCCCCTCTGTGGCCGACGGTGGCAAGACCGGCACGCCACTGGTGATAACGCACAGAGAGACAGAATGTGAGAGACGTGAGAGCAATGCTGTGCCTTCTGTCAGGCAAGGGCAGCTGCTGATCGATTACGGTACCTTCGGTGCAAAAATAGGAAGATTCTCACTCAAGTTGCGACGAGGGATCATCCCCTGCTATCCTCGTGAGCAAATGATAAGAAACGTGTCCACAACGTGTCCTCACCTTCCTGCATTTTGCAGGCTTAAATACAACACCTTCTCTACACATGCCCAGCGCTTTGCGGCGTTAGAAGCATCTTTAATAGGCATGATCACCATCTCTTCCCTCTTCTTCTGGTCCAATTGCGCCACCGTCCATATTGTCGGACACCAGATTGACCCGTATGTTGACTCGGGCGCCGTCTACTTGTCCCGGGTGTGTGACCCTCCCACGGTGACGCATCTGCCGTCCGCTGCCACAGTGACTGTGTCGGTATTGTCCTTTGTCATCGCCTCGGCTGTCGACTTCGTCATTTATGCGCTCTTCAGGAGATTTGTGATTGAAGTGAGGGAAGAAGAGATAAGAGAGACGCGTGTGTGCTCGGATATGTCTCGTGGATCTCTTTGCTCGTTTGCAGGATGAGATGTCTGCTGCCGAGAAAGGGATGCAGGTCCACCTTTGGAGGGTGATGGACTTCATTGGCTGGACGCTCTGGACATCGTGGAATGTCGCCTGTGTCGGGTGGGATGTCCTGTTTATTGGGGTGAGTGAAGCTGCTGCAAATGGATACCAAAGCGCTCGGACATACGTGCTGCCGTCCCTGTGTGGGTTGCAGAACCAGCAAGACGTGTTGATCGGCCAGTGGATGTGGGCCTCACTTCTTGGCAGCGCTTACCGGTCAGTTAGCTTGCTCTCTGTCTCTTTCACTCACCCAGGTGGAGATTCATCAGCTGTAGCACGTCATCCAGCGTCTGCACAGTCGCCCACACACACACACACACACACACATACATACAAACAAACACCACACACATGCGATGGGCTGTGCGCCTGCACCCACCTCGTCGAGCAGGCTGATGTTGTGGTCGAGGAGCTCCACCTCCTGCATGTAGCACTCGAGCAACAGCTCCACGTCCTCGGTGCTGTACGGCTCATCACCGGCCTCCTCGTGCTCGTGGTTTTCGGGCGATACTGGCCCGGCAGCGTTCCTCCCCTCCTCAGACTGATAGTCCATCGGTCTGTCTGCCGTCCCTGCATTCGTCTGCTGCTCCTCAGCACCAACATCACGCGTGCCAAACTGGCAACAGAAGGAAAAGGGAGACAGATGAATGTGTGTGAGTCTGGTGGGGGTGGTGTGGCGTACATGTGGGCTGTCTGCGAGTGAGTGTGCGGAGCCGTGAAATGCCTCGGCGAATGTGGGTGAAAGGGTGGCCGCGCGGTGGTCGTGGCCCTTCCTGTGCACAGTGTGGAGCACGTGCTGCTGAGAGAACCGCCGCGCGACGTCTGCTGAGGGGGTTTCGACCAATATCGACGATGTTGTTAGGGACGATGCGTTGACGTTGGATGAGTGGGTCTGCGTCATGTGTGCGCGGGCCAGGGAGGAGCAGACGGGGGGCAGGGAGGGGAAGGGAGGCGCTTCGGAACTGATGGATTAACAAGGGAGACACAGTCATGTGTTGGATATTGCCGGTATGTCTCTCCGTGTATGTGCTGACTGACACCCTTTTCCGTCTTGCCTTGTGCGCTCCCCGATGGCGGAGATGGGGAGAGGAGGCACAGGAGGCGGAGAAGCTCTTCTGCGAGAATCCTCTTCTGCAGCTTGCTTTGACGAGACTTCCTCGACGAGCGCCTTCAACCCTCTGACCTCGGCTTTCAGCTCCTCCTGAATCTTCCCACCCCCTTTTAGCTGGTTCCCATGCCTCCCTTGCACAGTCTGGACCCCACCCAGCGCCTCTTTCACGCCAGCAATCTCCGCCCGGACTTCCTTGGCCTTCTTGATCATCGCTTCCTTCAGGCTCTCAGTGGCGTCTTTGTTCTCCGCCATGTGACAATCGGTGCGAGACAGATGTTCTTTGAACGACTTGATGAGAGCGTCCATGGTGAAGTCCACCTTAAGCTCCAGCCGACAGAGACGCTCATCCATCTTCTCCTGCCATTCATCGTGGTGGCTGCATTCAACGTTTGGCGCCTGGGGCTTTGCATCATATTGCATGGTGCTGCTGTACCGTGTCGCCCAGCCGGACAATGGGGGATAGGAAGCAGTGCCGCCCGCCGTGTCAGGTCCCGTCCACTTGAGTCAGATGGTGCTCGCCGTGGGCCTACTTGGAATCATTGCAGATTAAGAGTGGTGGTGGTTAAGGGTAAGATTGTCCGTGTGTCCATGCGCTGGGACGGTCGATTACATGTCCGCATCTGAACTATTGACAGCAACGATCAAAACATTCGCTACCTACCCATGTACGCCCACCCACCCACCGCCTGCAATCAACGAGGGTGGAAAGGCCCCCGCTCTAGCAACAGTCCCTCAGCAAAACCCGCCCTCTCCTGCCCATTCCACCTGCTTGCCCGCCACGCCCTGCTCCGCACCATGTGTGCGTTGCCCTTCTGCAGCAGCAGACTAAGTCGAGCCCACCACCTCTCCACTGCTGTCTCGCGGAAAAACTCCACATCGCCCTCCTCCATATAGACAGGTGGCCGCATGTGTCGGGCCATACGGTTGAGAAGGGCAGCCGCCTCGTCCCCCCACCGTCCGTAGCTCTCCGCCGACAGTGGGACGAAGGTGAAGTTGCTTGCTCTCGCCTCTGTGCCGTATTTGCTGTGCTTCCTGTCGGCCGCGTTGCGCAGCGCCTTGCCGTCTTCTGCCCCGTTCTGCCTGTTGGTGGCCGCGTGGTGTCTGTTGGTGAAGGGGTCGGGGCGTGTGGGGTGGGCGATGGTGACGTCGCCGAGCATGCTTTTTCCCTCCTCCACCCAGTAGAGGTCGTTGTAGGCAAGAGCTCGCGAGCCAACGCCGTCCCCAACTTGGAAAGCCGTGGGATCTTCGTTTTGATGTCCTTCAGTAAGTTCTCTCCCCGTCTCGCATGCGGACTGTGCCCCCATCGAGCCCCCACCCTGCTCCTCGGAGTCCCCAAAGACAAAGGCAAGAGGCACACCAGGAAGGTCCACTGACAGGTCTTGACAACGCTTCGTCTGTTGTGTGGTCAGATGATGGACAACCGGTTTACCCGCCCATCATGGCAGCGGTCCCTCGCCCTCGCCCAACGCCTTCAACGACTTCTTCCACTCCGTCACCACTTGCCAGTATGATGCTGTGCAGCGGTGCTTCGAGAGAGAGGATCCCACGCCCTACATGCAGGCTACTGATCAAGTCAATACGGGGAGGGGGATGCGTCAATCACGTTTGGTGAGGGAGATATGCCTGGCTTGTTTCCCGCTGTGTCTGTCAGACGCTCAAGACGTGTCTGCACTTGGCTGCCAAGGGGGGTTTGCAGATCTGGTGCACTTCTTCATCACCCTCGGGGCCGCCATCGAAGCCAGAGAGCGAATCGGGAGGACGCCGCTGCGGTGCGCAAAAAGACATTCATGAGATACACACACTCCAAGTCCACACGTGCGTGCGCAGGTGTGCGCAAGGAGACATTCATGAGATACACACACGTGCGTGCGCAGGTGTGCGCACACAGACATTCAGTATGTACAAACACACCAAGTCGACACGTGGGTGCGCAGGGGTGCGCACAGAGACATTCATGACATACACACACTCCAAGTCCACACGTGCATGCGCAGGTGTGCGCACAGAGACATTCATGGGTGCGCAAAGAGACATTCATGAGATACACACACTCCAAGTCGACACGTGCATGCGCAGGGGTGCGCACAGAGACATTCATGACATACAAACACTCCAAGTCTACACGTGCATGCGCAGGTGTGCGCACAGAGACATTCATGGGTGCGCAAAGAGACATTCATGAGATACACACACTCCAAGTCGACACGTGCATGCGCAGGGGTGGTGCGCAAAGAGACATTCATGAGATACACACACTCCAAGTCGACACGTGCATGCGCAGGTGTGCGCACAGAGACTTTCATGAGATGCGCAGGTGTGCGCAAAGAGACATTCATGAGATACACACACTCCAAGTCCACACGTGCATGCGCAGGTGTGCGCACAGAGACATTCATGAGATACACACACGTGCGTGCGCAGGTGTGCGCACACAAACATTCAGTATGTACAAACACACCAAGTCGACACGTGGGTGCGCAGGTGTGCGCACAGAGACATTCATGAGATACACAAACTCCAAGTCCACACGTGCGTGCGCAGGGGTGCGCACAGAGACATTCATGAGATACACACACTCCAAGTCCACACGTGCGTGCGCAGGTGTGCGCACAGAGACATTCGTCATGTGTGTGGATGGATGTGTGAGGGATGGATGTGTGGATGGACGCGTCGGTGGGTGGATGGGTGCCATGGATGCCAACAGCACTTCTTCAAGCTCTCGTTGTGTATGGGATGTTTGAGTTCGTGGCGCGTGTGTGTTTATGTACAGGATGGGTGGCCGTGATGTGTGGCGGTTGTGTGTGGTGCACTGTATGTGCCCGATATCTGCCCTCACAGAGACACTGTCAGGTGTGTGTGCGTGTGTGTCTGTGTGTCATACGATGGATAGCACTACGAAAGTATACATGGCCCCCTGTAGTGTGCCGCCGCAGCAGCATGTGGTTGTCGGAGCCAGCCCTGCGACAAACACGCACACAGAACACACACACACGCACACACACGCACACACACACACACGGAGAGTATACAACAACGCATCCATCTGTCTACCTCCCCCTCACTGACCGAGAAACCTTTGATGAGGCGACCACATGAAGGGGGCCGCATGGGAAGCCCCATGCAACGGAACCAAAGGGATTGCAAGTCAGAGGGCGCCTGCCCAAAGCCGAGGCGAAACCTGATAGCGCGAAAACAGATAGCGCGAGAGCGTGTACATAATTGAGTGGCCGTCTCTCACGAAGCAACCCAGGTGTCACTGCAGAAGGTCTCGCATCATGAAAAAGTCCGTTTCCAATGTGAACGAATTGACAATGCGTCTCTGAGAGACAGAGAGGCTGTGTGTAAAGTGGGAGGCATTGTGTTGCACTGTCGCGTCGTGCGTTCTCTGTCACGATGGACCGAGTCATATACAACTGTCTCACAGATGGCATGTCTGGAGAACCAAACAAATAACCCCTCCCGTGACGTGCTAACCATGGGTGCTACATGCACACAACATATGACAGACCAGAGAAAATGCACCGCGAAGAAAAATAGGGCCTCACGAGGGAGAAAAATGTACGCGAGACGATGAGTGCACACTCGTATGTGCCTCCTACGCCTCTTATCAGTGTTCGAACACTCATGGCCTACTCTCACATATCTTCGTTCGTCGAAAGCTACCCTGGCTTCATCTGCCTGTCACATTGCACGGACACATAGGAAAAAGAGTGCGCTCACAAAGAAAAAGAGGGGCTCGCGAGGTAAGAAAAAATATACCCAATGATAGGTGTAGAAGCCTACTTGGCTAGTCATTATATTACAAGACTCGTACCGTACTCACATGTCTTCGTCCATTGAAGCCTCCAGCCTACCTTCAGCCGGCTCGCTTCCATTCGCACACGAGACGTCAACAATCAGCACCCGCTCTCTATCAGCGGCCTCTCTGAGTTGAACGTCTTCCTCTTGTCCATGGCCATTTACCTGACAAAGAAGAGGAAAGGAGCTGCACACATAACATACTAGAGCAAGATGCCTTAGGGAAGGGATGATGCAGCTATGGCTGCTGGTCGTTTTCTGTCGGTGTCTGCTGCTTCAGCGGCTGAGACTCGGGCGCAACCTACACACACACACAAGAGGTCATGGCTGCATCCACGAAACCGCAAAGTGGACCTCGCTACCTCTCCATTTGGGGCGGGCAGGTAGTCATTGCCTCTCAGCGGCTGTCGCACCGGGTCGCCCCCAGCCACACTCACGTTGTGCACCACTCGCACACCTATACCAGCATATATACACGCTCATGTACACTCGTGTGCGTGTCTATGTCTGTGTGTGTGAGCGTACTGTCGAGTTGTGGCTGCAAGGGGACCATCTGTGTGGCCATGGGTGGGGCGGTCGGCAAATCTCCCACTGTGTAGCCAGCCAACTGACACACACACAACACACCACAGCACACACAATACGCACAGACGTGTGCACAGCGGCAGGGGGCATCTGTCTGTCCGTGTAGTGTGGATGGGTGGATGGATGGGGTCATACATTGGCCGTGCCCAGGACCGGGTCCAGCCCAGTCGTTACCACCAGCGAGTGTGTGTATATCATGAATGTCTCTCACCTGCGCATGCACGTGTCGACTTGGAGTCTGTGTATATGATGAATGGATCTGTGCGCACATCTGCGCATGCACGTGCGGACCTGGAGTGTGTGTATATGATGAATGTCTCTGTGCGCACACCTGCGCATGCACGTGTGGACTTGGAGTGCGTGTATAT